ACATACATATATATATATATATATATATATATATATATATATATATATATATATGTATATGTTTGCGCGCTCGTGTGAATTGCTCCTAAAATCCGAGTTAAATTTTTAGCTAGGTTTGTTTACTTATTAATCTATGGTATAAACAACGTTCCTCAGAAATTAGCAGAAGTCCGTGCTAAAATTTTAATAGCACTTTTGGGATACATGCATACATACATATATACATATGTGTGTGTGTGTGTAAGTACATGCGTAATGTTTTTAGTTATCGCTATTAATACTTAGAGAATATACATATCTATCTATCTATCTATCTATCTATCTATCTATCTATCTATCTATCTATCCTAGCCTGTTCATATCTATCTATCTATCTATCTATATAGCTATTGGCTTCGGTTTCAATTTAAATTTGACTTATATAACCGTGCATATCTCGAGACGATCTCAGCACACGGCAACGTTGAGAAAGGCATGCAAACCACACCCACGTGTTGACCTCAGCCATGCTCATGAAATTCAGAAGCAATCCATGGTTGTGCTGACACGATGTTACAAGTCATCGTAACCGAGCTTTTTGAGTGTGCTGGCATTGTCACGTCAGATTAATTGCTCTCTCCCAGATCCAGAAAAATCAATTTATCTATCTCAGTATGTTCATTATCTATCTATCTATCTATCTATCTATCTATCTATCTATCTATCTATCTATCTATCTCAGTCCGTTCATCATCTATCTATCTATCTATCTATCTATCTATCTATCTATCTCAGTCCGTATATTATCTGATTCATTGTGTCGTGTATGAGTTGGTCGATAAAGGATCTTACTGGTCTACCCCAGGATATTTTTCTTCCATAATTTGGTTGCTATAGTATAAGCTGATATATAACTTCTTGTTTACGTCTCCAGCAATTGCCACTAAAACGCACTCACCCTTCACAGACAAAGCTACACTTAGTTAATCTCTATCTAAATTCTCAACTATTTTATCGACACGACATTTTTCAGATCTTATAAATACATCAGAAAACTTTTCTAAGTGAGTCAATTTGGATCTTTTTATCTCTCCAAAACATGAAAATTTCGCAGCGTGAAACTTGAAGTCACGGTGAAGTTTTTATCTAACGTTTTGGGATTGGATTCCACTTCTATCTTAGGTCAGCTTTCTTAATGGAGATTTATAGATTATTCAGCACTTTGTATCTTATTAAGTGGACGCATGTCCTTTAATCTCTCTCTCTCTCTCTCTCTCTCTCTCTCTCTCTCTCTCTCTCTCTCTGCCCAATTATATATATATATATATATATATATATATCAGTTATGTGCCATGCGTGCTACACGCTTAGGCGATCATGTATCTTTCGATACATGACTGATGAGGTAGATTTTTTCCCGCAGTAGGTTACCATTACTTTCTGCGATAGACCAGTTGCCACCCAAGGCTATAGAACCCGGTCTGTCCTGTTATTTACCCATAACTGGGAGGAGAAGGAATGGATTCATACCTTTCCCAAGGGTATTAGCATGTAAGTGAATGTAGTGGATTCGACTGGAATTCGAACTCTGCTCTCCGATTCCTCAATCCAAGCCGGTATCCATTACCAGTGTATTTGAGAGTTGGGAAACCCTTGCTGCCTTCACAGCCATCTCCGCCACCGCCACCCGGAGGGCAGAAAGGAATAGAGAGAGAGGATGTGATGATACCAATGCCCGGATGCGAGCGAGGCGCTGATGTTAATTTGGGCTGAAATCGTTCTTTTAAACAAGTTTCAATCGACAAGGCGAATAAGCTTTTTATTCAAATTTTCTTATGTTCGTATATGTATTACTGGACATAAAGTAGGTACCTCCACAGATTCGTGACAACTAAAGTATAAAATGATGTTTTTTAAATTAAAAATCTTTCTTAAAGCTTTTATTTTGGTTTTAATTTCAAGCTAATAGATTAAATTTAATATTTCCACAGTATTTACATTGGTCGGACTATTGTCCTCATCTTTGTCGCCATATTTGTCACAACGTTTCGGCCGTTGTACGCTCCGACCTTCTTCAGGTGGTTGGAATTTCGAACTGAACCCTTTATTTCGATCACTGGGGTAGACTGTTCCAGTTCCACGTGCCATGTTTGATGGATGTCGAAATTCCAACCACTTGAAGAAGGCCGGAGCGAACAACGGCCGAAACGTTGTGACAAATGTGGCGACAAAGATAAGGACAATAGTCCGACTAATGTAAATACTGTACACAATACCTCTTCTCAGAAATATAGACAGATTAATATTTCCAGTAAGGAAAACAACTTTTCTCTATTTCAAAACTAATTTAAATTGATTGGAAGATGTTTTCGTTTTGAAATTGCAAATTTTTTATTTATTTTAGCGCCATGTTTAGCCACCAGTGATCAGAATGTAATTCTCTTAATTAAAAAAATCTTCTAAAAATAAAATATACTTTTTTGAAACTTTATCTGTGGAATATTATCTAATTTAAAATATAATTAATCTGATTTGAAACAACTATTATTTACTTAAGTTTAAAATATCGCAGAAATGCATTTTTTAACACAGCAGTAGCTGTTTATGTTGAGGTGGTGACAGCTTGGAGACAGAGTGATGTTTATCTAATGTTGTTTTACGGGGGCTTTATGCGTAAAAAATAATTGAATAATATAATGTCAGTGACTTTATATATAATTTTTAAGTACTCAGTAATTGTTGTAGCATGCCTACGTACGATAAAAAATTATCTCGTTGAATTTCTCGAGTTTTCATAAATTATGTGGGGGTGTAACAAATGTCAAAAATGTCCTGAAAGTTTCTATAAAATCCGACAACTATTTGATTTTTGCATGTTCTAAAATGGATTAAAAACTATAAGTAAATAATTAAAAATACTTTCATCTTTCCTTTTAATAATAGCATAAAGATTTTTACGGTAAAACCTAGGTTTTTTTATCAAATTTGGGGCATTTTTCCATCATAGTATGCTCTTTTTGCAGCGATTGTGTGGAGCTGCCTAAAAGTATGTGAAAATTGTGCTTTCGACTATTAGCCATTATCAAGGGTGCACTTTTTTGGTTTTATTAACTGAATATGTAGATTTTTATATATGATCTACAGTGATAGGAATGTTTTTTCTAAACACGGTCAGCACATTGTGGGCGTGTTCATAGTTGATACTGAGTGATGCCTTTTTCTTTTTTATCATTAATGGTTACATTAATTTTAGCCTTTTTTACATGCGGATGAGGCTATTATAGTCGTATTTTCTACGAGTATGCTGCAGGCGGAGTTTTGATGAGTTTTTGCTTAAATGGGTCCTAATTCAGATATGGCCAGAGAGATGTAACGTGAGTCTACTTGATAGGCATGTAGTGGTATGTCCAGTAAAATTATTCATGAATAATTATTCATTCATCACACACACACACACACACACACACACACACACACACACACACATATATATATATATATATATATATATATATATATATATATATATATGATGAACGTATATATATTTGTTATTTTTGACATAGAAAAACGTCACATAGCAATTTTTATGTCAAAATAAAAAAAAATATCATCTTTGACGGTGGATATCTTTGTTTCATGTCTGTATGTCCACACTGAGGATGGTTCATATGAGCCGAAAATCTTAGGTCCAACTTTAAAAAATATCCAAATGTTGGACAATTTGTGTCTTTATTTTCACCAGAAATTAAAGCAAACATTCGAATATTAGAACGGCTCATGATCAGACATAATAGACATTCATTGTCTGTTATATTTATATTTAATAATATATATATATATATATATATATATATATATATATATATATATATATAGAGAGAGAGAGAGAGAGAGAGAGAGAGTCTATTAACTATAGAATAGGTGTGTTTCACCATAACAATATATTAATAAATACACATATACCTACGTATCTAGTATAACTCAGAGTTTCATAGTTACCCAATTCATCAGGCACAAATATATATATATATATATATATATATATATATATATATATATATACTAATTCAAATCCACATTATTGATTACACGGATTTGAATAGGCATACTTGCTATATCTACTAAAACACATACATCCACTAAAATAACCTTTATATTAATATGTATGAGTGTGTGTGTGTGTGTGAGAGAGAGAGAGAGACAGAGAGAGAGAGAGAGAAAGAGAGAGAGAGTGTGTGTGAGAGAGAGAGAGAGAGAGAGTTTGAATTTATGCCCATGTTTTCTAAAAAAAACTAATTTATTTCCGTTTTATCTAAACCCACAGGTGAATGTGAAAAACATTTTCTAGTTAACGAATCGGGATTAATATAATTTCCCAAGGTTCCAATTTGACCAGAACAAAAATAATGGCGAGGAATGCTGCTGCTGTTTATTATGAAACGAACGCTCTGTTGAAATCCCAAAAGGATCAAACCTTCCAGTTGATGCATGACAAATCGGATTTACGTCGGTCTTTGCGATTTAACACTGTAAACCGGCGCCTGAGGAGACAAAATACAGTTCACATACAACTGATTTGGGCAGGGTTCTTAATCATCGTTTCCAATATATTTATTCGACCGCTCACGGCTGGTCATATATCGAACAATGATCAATATTCAACTTTGGAGATGAGCTTACAAAAAGATGTGGACAATGAAGGAGCCAAATTACAAAGCCGTTATTATGGTCGCCAAGACGTTTACTCGCATTGGCGACAAAGGAGAGCCACAGAAAATGTCGATGAAGGTAAGATACACAGTTACTTTTTTCTATTTTCTTTGTTGTTTTTGCTTGCTGTTTTTTTATGGCGAGATTATACGTTATTTTAACTTTTTTATTATCGATTTTTAGCACTTTTTTATTATCCATTTTTATCACTTTTTTATTATCGATTTTTATCTCTTTTTTTTATTATTGATTTTGATCTCTCGACCAGCCGCCTTTTTTTACCTCTTATGTCCTACCTCTACGCGATTTACGGCTACATCACGTCGAAACATCGGTTCTCGTACGATCACAGGTGTTAAGCAACGTCGAGCCTAGTCTGTACCGAGATGGGTGACCGCGTGGTAATACCAGATGCTGTACGCGTGGATGTGCGGGTGGTATTGTGGAAAACGGATCGGAATTTGAAATCAGAGAGCCGAGTTCCAATTTCAATCGGTTTCGTTATATTCACTTACACGCAAACACCCTTGAGAAAGATATGAATTCATCTCTTCTCACCCCAGCTATGGGTTAATTAGAAGGACTTGTAACAGAAAATCATTATTACCTCCCAAATATTCAACAATCTAAAAGTATTTTCTGGCTTCAAATAACCTATAAGAGGTTGTTAAGCCGTAAAAAACAAATCAATCCATACTTTCTTCAATTTCATCCATCCCCACCTGTCTTGACAGTTCTTCATCTTACCTATTTAATACTCCCTACAGTTTCTCCTCCACTCTCTCCCTCTTTCTCTCTATGATATTTCCCCTCTCGTTTGTGTGTGTGTGTCAGTCTATCTGTCTGAGTGTCTAACTGTATGCATATGTCTCTCTGTGCAACTCTCTGTGTTTGTACCTGTCTCAATCTGTATGTACGTCTGTCTCTCTATGTCTGTCTATGTGTGTGTGTGTGCGTTCGTGTCTATGTGTGTATATTTTTTTCTTATTTCTCAGATAGTTTCAAATCGTCACAATTTATTCATAACTTCAATCCCGATGTACAACACCTCATTCAGAAATTGGAAAGATATAATAAGAAGTTGAATAGGCAGATATTACCAACTTAATTTGTTTGTATATATATATAAATGTGTGTGTGTGTGTGTGTGTGAGAGAGAGAAAGAGAGAGAGAGAGAGAGGTCAGAGCAAGTGGAAATTTTTTTATAGCATGTGTATGGCGCATGTCTGCGAAAAACTTTATTCTCATTTTTGTAAAAATAAAAATTAATAGCTGAATTGCATCGAATTTTATGAATAAATGGCACAATGCAAAACATAAAAGTAGATTTGAGAAAATGCGAATGCGAATGGCGCTTCACACTTTTCGGGCGAAGTAGATAATTGGTAAGATAAGATTTCTTCGTCGCACGGCCAAATGTTAACAGAATACGAAAGTAGGAATATTGTATTGTGATACATGCCAACTATAAATTTAAGATACCAATATCCAACAAGTACAAGAGTTTAAATATCTGGGAAGTGTTTTAACAGAGGATAGAAAATGCGTCACAGAAATCCGACAGTTGCATTCCAAGAGCTAAACAACGCATTAAGAAACAGGAAATTTTACGTCAGAAACAAAATGAGTGTTGAATTGCTATGTGATATCAACCCGGATAGCATCGGATGAGGGGAAAATGCCTTCCAAAAGCTAAGCAAGATATTAAGAAACGGTAAGTTTTCCTTGGAAACTAGAAAATGAGTGCTGAGTTGCGATGTTATATCAACCCTCTTGTATAGCATCGGATTAGCGAAAGATGCCTTCCAAAAGCTAAGCAAGATATTAAGAAACGGTAAGTTTTCCTTGGAAACTAGAAAATGAGTGCTGAGTTGCTATGTTATATCAACCCTCTTGTATAGCATCGGATTAGAGAAAGCTGCCTTCCAAAAGCTAAGCAAGATATTAAGAAACGGTAAGTTTTTCTTGGAAACTAGAAAATGAGTGCTGAGTTGCTATGTTATATCAACCCTCTTGTATAGCAGTGAATGCTAGACAATCGCACCACAGATGAAGAGGATACTGGAGGCAACAGAAATGTGGTTCTACAGATATTGCGATTTTCATGGACAGAGCGCATAAGCAATGAGGAAGTCTTAAAGTAAATGGCAATAAAAAGAGCACGTATACACAGAAAGAAATTTTATTGGCAGTCTAGTTACGACGATAGACTACATCCGACAGAAAGCCCTCTGATCGGGAAATTGGAAGTTTTGAGCAGCGTGGAACCCCCTCTTAACTGTTGTCTTTCCCAGGCTCATCCTGACCCGGGGTGGTAACATCTGTTAAGGTCCAAGCTATGGCCAAATAGTGAACCCCCAAAACAAAAATCAAAACACTATGAAAGTATAAAAAAAAAGTTTTTATAGTAAAATTACCAACAATGCATATTTATAGCAAAATGACTAACAACACATTTTATAGTAAAATTACCAACAATGCATATTTATAGCAAAATGACTAACAATACATTTTATAGTAAAATTACCAACAATGCATATTTATAGCAAAATGACTAACAATACATTTTATAGTAAAATTACCAACAGTACATTTTTTCTGTAGTTGAAGGCATACTATTACGTTCAAAATATATTTAGTTGAAGCCATAAATTGTTGTTCAAAATATTTAGATTTGGGCATTAAATAACCCATAGAGGTTGATATGCTGCTAAACTAAATCAACCAACCAACATGAAAGAACTCTTTCATGACATTAATCCATATAATATCCTACAATTACTGTATCAAAATCAAACTGTATTCCAAAATATAACTTTCACAAAACTACATCATAAAACATGCATATCACCACTTCTAGTAATTATGTATACACAAACATAAATATGGTCAAAAGCTGAGTATCATCTACCATGTATTCGTCTGTGAAAGCAGAATAATATATATTGTATTTTATTAATTCAATACATTTTTCTGTAGTTGATAAAAAATTGCGTTCAAAATATATTTATTTGAAGCCACTAAACTCTGTTCAAAATATTTAGATTTCGGCATTAAATAGCCCATAGAGGTTGATATGCCACTAAACAAATTCAACCAACAAAAAAATATTTTTGGACACATAATGGGGAAGGAGGGCTTGGAAAAGTTAACTCTCACAGGGCATATCGAGGACAAGAGAGATAGGGTAAGGCAGCGCCCCCCCCCCCCTTGCCTGACGAGCAATGGTGAATGGATGGCAGAACGGAGGACATTAGGCTTCGCAAAGGGAGAAATGCTGTTAAGAGTCACGAAACATAGGAAGTTGGGGAATGCATTATAGCTCACGTACCGAAGAAACACGGCACATAGAAGAAGAAGGTAATCTTCCCAGTAGAAGGAGTCTGCCTGCCTCTAAAAAATTAGAATTCGAAATCCTGGCTTTGTACCTTGGCTCAAATACTGACTTGTATATATGTATATATGCTGTGTAAGCACCATAGCTGGTCGAACCAAGAAAAAAGAAAGAATTTTGCTAGGAAAATTACTGCTGGGATTTTAACTTTCAAAGAAGCCTATTATTTGGTGAATTGTTGGTTTTTCTATCTTTCAGACAATCTTCCGTTGCCTTATTAAAGTTGGCTTTTATTCTAACCGTACAGCGTGATGCTCATGTATCGCTTGCCAACAGAGAAAAGGCTTCAATTAATCCCGGGTTTTTGTTCTGATAATTGGAAGTCGACACATTTTGCGGTATTATTTAAATATCATCTATTGTTATCTAAACCTTTTGTTTAGTTCATATGTGGCGAATTCTCAATGACTGTTGGCAAACAATGGCTCTTAATTATTGCATCTATTATGTCCAGTACATCAGCATATGGACATATGCAGAAAGATAATTCCTCTGTGTATGTCAGTAACTTCACAATCTTGTCTATTTCGCCGTGAAATATTAACAACCTAACCACACACACACAATAACGACGGCAGTTAATTCAATCCTCATCCAGTGTTCCACACTTATAGTTTTTATGCTGTACTAATCTATGCAAGGGAATGGGCGACTAGCATAACTGTTATCGGTGAAGTAAGTGGAATCGGTGATATTTCGTCGTCTTCTTATTTAATTATTAGTTCTAGACTCGGTATTGTCCCACAGGACAATAATCTAGCGGATTAAAGCGTTGGTTTGTGAATTCACTTCCTGGTGACGCAGATTTAGATTCAGTGAATGAGTAATAACTAAGCAATACTAAATAACAACTAGACGAGATATGCAAAGACGCGGTCAGCGGAACGAGGTCAATCTACCGCTGTAGATTAGAAAAAGGGTTAAGTTTGAAATTCCTTTATGATTACCAAGATCGACAAGTACATTATGGGGACCGGAGGACGCAACGGCCGAACAACAATAACAATAATAGTCCAAGTGTAAATAATGTAAATAAAAATAATAATAACTGTTTTAAATCTTTAAATTGAATTTCATGAAAAAAAAAGATTATTACTCCATTTTACTAAAAATGACACATTACCTCCAAGTAAAGCATTTTACTAAAAATGATACATTACCTGTAGGTACAGAATTTTACTAAAAATGACACATTATCTCTAGCTACCTTTTTTTTTCTAAAATATCTTTAACATAAATCAAGAGAATTATCATGTCTCCTCGTATCTTTCAGACAGAGTAGATATTAATTGTTCTGGTGAGCTTCCATCTTTGGTACCTCGACTTTACGAATTTAAGCGCTATACTAGATTGGCAGTTAGGTCTCAACATTTTACAGTGGAAATTTCTTCATCTAACTATAAGTTCTATACTAACAGTTTGTTTTCTTGCATTTTTCGCTTGTGAAATTCTCTTTCAGCTTCTTTCTTTCTAGTTAACTTAGATATTCAAAAAATTGAATGCGATGGGAATCATTATCTTCTGCCTTCTTAATTCCTGTTCTTTCATTGTTCTTTCTCCTTAATAGAGTTTTTTTTGGGGTGCATATTCTCTCACACTTGCGTCTTAATAGTTTAATACCTTGCTTGGGGTGAAAAATATATATATATATATATATATATATATATATATATATATATATATATATATATAAGTATATAATTGGTGTATACGGAATGAATTCCAATAACCAACAATTACTATTCTTAAAAGAGTGCTCAATACAAAGTAGAGCAGATATAATTATTTATTTAAAAAATTTATAACATAAATATGTTATAAAATCACTACAAAAAATAGCAGTTTTGTTTCAACATTTTTGGTGTCTTATCAAGTGGTGATGTTGAATGTAAAATAAATGGTTATCATTTATTTTACATTCAACATCACCACTTGATAAGACACCCTAAAACGACTCTAATGAATCTGCTGACAAAATACAATCTGTCCCTTAAAAAGTCAATGTATGACCGATAATATTGTATAT